GGCCATTGGGCTGTGATGCAGGAGCATAGCAGTGCGGGCAGGCAGCAGGACAGGTAGGGCACCTCCTTGCCACCCCCAAAGAGCTGCTGCCCTGCTGCTGTCCCCTGATTTGAGTGGGGCTGAGGGACTGGAGGCACTCAGTTCCCAAGTCCTGCCTGGCAGTGGAGGAGGCTGTTCTGCAAGGCTCACAGGGTGGCTCAGTGGTGGTGACTCCTGGTCCCAAAGGCTCCCTCAAGCTAGTTGTCTCATGCTGTGTTATGTCGAGAAAGAGGTAGAGTCAGGTGCTGCGGGGTGCCCCAGAGCGGAGGCTGAGATGGCCCTTGTGCTCTGGGGCCAGAGGCTGTGGAGGGATGAGAAGGCTGAACCCGCAGGGCACAGGCAGGGCTATGTGCTGGTGAAGCATCCTGCCCAACACAGGGCTTGCTGCGAGGACAGGGATGGGGCTGCTGTTGCTGGCTGGGATGGGATGGGATGGGATGGGCTGTGATGTGGTGGTGAGCTGTTTGGGGAGGTTTGGATCAAGGCAGTGTACGGAGGCACAGGGCTATGCGGGTGGTTGTCCTCAGCGTGCTGGCAGAGGTGCAAAGCGGTGCCCACACCAGGGATTAGGCAGAGTGAGCCTTACAGCCCGGTGTCCGGGGTCTTGTGCTGCAGTGTCTGCTGGCAGCGGTGTGGGCTGCTGTCCTTTCTGTCCCCTCTCACACCCAGGCCAGCAGCAGGAGTGGTGTTGGTGGTGCCAGGCGGGCTGTAAGCGTGCTGTGCGTTAGGCTGCTTGTTTGTCCTTGGTGAGGGACCATGTGCCAGCCTGTGAGACCCAGCTGCACCCTCCATTATCCCAGTGGCAGGATGGGGGGACCAAGAGGAGGAGGGAGGTTTTGGACTGAAGATGAGGTCAGGAGGAGCCAGCCTGGTGGGAGCTGGAGAAACAAAAAGGCAGGATGAGGGCAGAGCTGCCACCCCAGGTGTGAGGAACAGCATCACCAGGCTGGGTGCTCAGGCTGTCGGGTGAGCGTGGGCTGTGTCTGGGAGCTGGGAGGGGAGTGGGCTGGCTAATGCTCTGGTAACCATGTACTCTTCTGGTGCTGCTGTCCTTGCTGCTTTGCACCATCTCTGCTCTGGAAAGAGAATAAATTTGTATTTATACTGAGACCCAGATTGGTGCTCTAGCCTCTTCTATCCGTGCACCTCAGCTGAGTCAGGGCAGCTCCCGGCGCTGTGCCATTCTGGCACCACTCCTGCAAGGCTGCTGGGACACAGATGTCCCTGTGTCACCCTGGCCATTCACACCATTCGAGGCAGAGCAGAAGCTGTGAGCAGAGCCCAGGCTCCCCAGACACAGGCGTGTTCCCTGACCATCATCTTCATTTGTCTTCTTCCAGCAAGGTCTGCTCAGGGCTATGCAGCAGCCTGAGGGCTGGGACAGGGGCTGTGGGGGGACAGTCCCTCCTCCTCATCCCAGAACTTCTGCTGTAGGAAACCCTTCAGCCCCAGGAAGGGTGCAGGCAGCAGTGGAATGCTGGGCAGGCAGTCCTCTCCCTCTCTGCTTTCTCCCTGGAGCCCCATGAGGTGTCCAGTGCCAGAGGTCTCTGGGTGCCCCTGCCCCAGGTGCTGCCCATGTTCCCCATGTCTCCATGGCACAGTGAGGGGCTCAGCTGAGGACTAGCCCAGGAACAAGGCTGGGGCTCTCAGACCCTCCGTGCTGCATAGGGTGCACCCCAGTCCTGGCTGCCATTGAAGCCTGCCCAGGACTGGTACTTGTGGGTCTGGACCTGCTTTCAGCCCTGCCTGGAAGTGCTGGTGGTTCTGGGACTGACACGGTGATACTGGAGGGAAGTATGGGGACAGCTCTCACACAGGAGAGATTCAGGAGCTTAAATGGGGTGAAATGCAGCCTTTTCAACTCGCTCTCTCAAGGGTAGAGCAAAATTCCCCATCCCTGTGCCACAGGCTCCAGGGCAAGGCAGGAGGTGTGAGCTGTGATCAGGGAAGCAGGTCACGTCCAGGAACAAATCCAGCACATGGTGCCAGGGAAGAGCTTTTATTTCTCAGCCAGCAGAGCTCAGCGGGGCCCAGCTGAAAGGCGCTGGAGCTGATGAGCTGGGGCAGGGAGGCAGCAGGCGCTGCTGCACAGTGGGGCGGTGGTCCCGGCAGTGGCAGGGTGAGGATGGCATAGTTGCCGTGTCACTGCAATGCCAGTCCCCAGCCCTGGGGCTTCCTCTCAGGGGACAG